TCATCATCATCATCATCATCATTATTAGTTGGAATATAGGTGGGAGCCTATTTCTGGTAAATCCCTCTGGCACAGGGCATGATTTGACTTTTAATTTATATTTTTTGGGGAAAAACCGGCTCAGGATGTTGTTCTGGGAGGTTGTACCTGTGTTTCACATCAATGCAGGCCACAGGATCAGAGGGGCGCTCTGATTGTCACCCGCTGTCACAGACTGGACACGTGCTCTTGACATTTCTAATTATGCTCATTACATTCCTAATTATGCTCATGGCATTTCTGCACTCCTGTTTTCCATCTCCAGTGGTGACAGGACTAAAAATGTGCAATAATACAAAATATGAAACCTGGATGTGCTGGGTTACGCCTGTGCTGCCCCTCAGCGTTAACTGGAACATCACAGGGTGGGATTCTGGCAAATCCCCCTGGCACAGGGCAGAATTTGACTTTGAATTTATATTTTTTGGGGGAAAAACTCTGGATTTATAATTTGGGGGAAATACTGGCTCTGGGTGTTGTTCTGGAGGTTGCACCTGTGTTCCACATCAGTACAAGCCTGCAGGATCAGAGGGGAGCTCTGATTGTCACCCTCTGTCACAGACTGGACACTTGTGACATTTCTAATTGTGCTCATGACATTTCTACACTCCTGTTTTCCATATAGGAAAATAGCTGACAGGACTGAAAATGTGCAATAATACAAAATATTAAACCTGGTGCAATAATACAAAATATCAAACCTGGATGTGCTGGGTTACACCTGTGTTGCCCCTCAGCATTAATTGGAATATTATCATTATCATCGCCATTATTATTGTCATTATTATTGTCAATATTACTATTATTAATTGCAATATAGGTGGGAGCCTATTTCTGGCAAATCCCCCTGGCACAGGGCATGATTTGACTTTGAACTTATATTTTGGGGGAAAAAAACTTTGAATTTGTAATTGGGCTTGCTCAGTCACTTCCTGAGCTCTGGTGGCTTCTCCAGCACTGTCACCATCTGTCCCAAAGCCACTGCTGCAGTGGGGAGATTCCTTGGGCACCTCCCCCCAATTAAACAACCACAATTAAACCTTCCTGCCAATCCTTGAGCCATCTGTGGGCCTTTCTTATCCCACTGTGCACTGAGTTTATTCCTGTTGGGATCAGGATAATTCTGCTGTTTATCCTCTGTGTTTTCTCTTGCCCTCGTCTCCTGAGAAAATAAAAATTCTCAGGGTGGTAGAAAATTTCGAGGGGTTTGGAGATCTCCCTGAGCTGTGACAAAAAGCAGGGAAACTCTTGTAAAGTCATTTAGGGGCCAGGGGGTGTTTGGGGTCATGGAATCACAGAATGGTTTGGGAAGGGACCAAAACTCATCCAGATCCAACCTGGACCCATCCCACCATCCCAGGGTGCTCCAAGCCCCATCCAGCCTGGCCTTGGACACTCCCAGGGATCCAGGGGCAGCCACAGCTTCTCTGGAATTCCAGCCCAGGCCCTCCCCATCCTCACAGCCAGGAATTCCTCCCCAATATCCCATCCATCCCTGCCCTCTGGCAGTGGGAAGCCATTCCCTGTGTCCTGTCCCTCCATCCCTTGTCCCCAGTCCCTCTCCAGCTCTCCTGGAGCCCCTTTAGGCCCTGCAAGGGGCTCTGAGCCCTCCCTGGATCCTTCGCCTCTCCAGGGGAGCACCCCCAGCTCTCCCAGCCTATCCCAGCTCTCCCAGTTCTGGAATTGCTGGAATCCCACGGTCACCACACCGATGCCCACAGAGGATTTCTCCCACCACGAGTTTGTTCCTTCCCTCCACACCTTGGTGGCCCCTTCCAGGCCTCCTCTGGAAGTTCTCTGTCCCTGAAGGTTCAGTTTTTGGGCCAGGTTATCAATTCCAGAAACCCCTGTGGGTGTTTGTTCTGCAGATACCCTACAGACCTTCCTGGAAGGAAAATCTTTGTCTTCTTCTCCAAACCAACCCTTTGGGCATGAAAATATCTGGAAAATTTGATTTTATGAGGGTTTTCCGCCTGAAGAGAGAAAGTTTGGCTGGGTTGATAAGAACAAGACACAGGTTGATAAGAACCTTGCCAGAGCCTTGAATTCCCAAGGGAGGGATCAGGAAACCCTGCAAGGAACAAAGGCTCAGTGCTGACCATCCATGAAGCTCCACTGGCATTTTTCCCAAGAGCAGCCCCAGCACCTGCTCCTGCGTGGGTTCATCCCATCAAAGCAACGACTCTCTCTGATTTGCAGACTAGAAAATATTCCAGGATCATTCAGGGCACGGACGAAAGAGCAGAGGCACAAATGAAGGCCAGGGCCTCGCGGCAGCTGAGCCCTTTGTTGTGTGGGGCAGCTCCGGGCCCCGCAGAGCTCTGGTCACGCTCTGAGGAGCCAGGAACAAAGGAGCCCTGGCCGTGTTTGCTTTGCCTCAGGGCAGGGAGGGACGATTTCGGTCAGTGGTGAGCCGGGATGGGTGGCAGAACTTCGCTTTTCTCTCTTTTTCTCTGCCCAGGTCACCCAGATGAGCCGTCCAGACCTGATTCTGTTCCTCATGAAGTACCTGATGGCCTTGGTGGTCGGCATCCCCTCGGTGTTCTGGGTGGGCAGCAAGAAGACCTGCTTCGAGTGGGCCAGCTTCTTCCACGGGCGCAGGAAAAAGGAGTGAGCACGGGTTTTGTGCAGATAAACCTTCCCTCGCTGCCCTGGGACGCACCAAGGCAGGAATGGATGGAAAAGTCACAATTCAGAATGGGGCCAGGAAGGACAAAAAAATTCCTTATTTCTCCCTAAATATTCTTTGTTCCCAGAATCAAACCTACATTTGTCCATCTTCAAAATGGTTTTAAGAATTAAGTGTCGAATAAACACTTCATGGTGTTTAGGTGGAATGGAAGCTTTTTATTTATAAATGTGCACCTAGCCAGCTGAATCAGAGCTTTAAATTGGAATTAAATTCAGGTTCCTGTCACCGTGGCTGCAGTTGAGAGCATTTGTCTCTGCTTTTAATCTTCCTTATCATTGGTGCTGAAGAGCAGCTTGATAAAGTGACAAGAATTTCTTGTGGCTTCTGTAAGGCTGACATTAATTTAGATTAAGGTTGGCATCGATTTGGAGACAATCTATGATTTTGTGGTAGCTGCGGGTAGGCGCTTTCCTAATAAATATTTCTGATTTGCAGACTAGAAAATATTTTAGGGCACGGACAAAAGAGCAGAAATTCCTAATAAATATTAGGAATATAAAAATATATATATTAGGAATATAATATGATTAGGAATATATATATTAGGAATCTTATATATATTAGGAATCTATAATATATATTCCTAATATATAATATATATTTTAGGAATACATATATATATAAGGAATATATATATATATATATATTCTTTATATATATAAAGAATATAAAAATGCTAATAAATATTAAGAATTTTTTAAATATTAGGATATTTTATATAAATAAAATTTATAAATACTATAAATATTATAAATTATTATTAATTATAAAATTTATTGAAATATAAAATTATTTTTAAAATTATAAATCTTATAATATTTTATATTATTGTTTTAAATTTTAAATAATATTTATATTACTAATAAAATTATATTTTTATAGGATATATTAGGATATAATGTCCTTTACGATGTTTTAAAGCCGAAAGTTTTTGGTGACTCCTCCATCCTTGGATGACTTTTGGTCCATCCTTCAAGGATTCAGCTGGGCTAAGACAACCACATAGAGGGCTAAAACAACCACACAGGGACATTGCCACGTAAATGATGCTCTTGTTGGCCAAGCCAAGGCCGTGATCGCTTTCACCCCGCGCTAATTACCGCTAATTGCTCCGCTCAGGGTCGTCAACGAGAGCCGCCAGGTGCTGCAGGAGCCGGACTTCGCGCAGTCGCTGCTGCGGGACCCCAACACGCCCATCATCCGCAAGTCGCGGGGCACGTCCACGCAGGGCACCTCCACGCACGCCTCGTCCACGCAGCTGGCCGTGCTGGACGAGCAGAGGAGCAAGGCCGGCAGCGTGCACAGCAAAGTCAGCAGCTACCACGGCAGCCTGCACCGCTCGCGGGACGGACGGTACGGGCCGAATGAGCAGGGCAGGGATGCTTCTCCTTTTTTACGGTTTTAGGAAAAATCAGCACGGGTGGGGAGAAGTGACGGGTCCGCACTCACGGCGCCGCTGCTCCCAGGAGTGGCACGGAGGAGGAGGAGGAGGAAGAGTGCAGCTGTGTCCGCTGGTCTGTGGGCTGAGCTGGGGGTTCAACCCTCACAAGAGCATCAGGAGATTCCCCTTTTTCAGTTTGACATTCGAGGTCCTCTGTGAAATGAACAGGGCAGGAGACCTTTCTCCTTCTGAATGCTTTTAGTAAAAATCACTCAGGTGGGAGAAGTGACGGGTCACGCTCACGCTGCTCCCAGGAGTGGCACAGAAGAGTGAAATAGGGCAGGAGATCTTTCTCCTTTTTAATGCTTTTATTAAAAATCAGCTCGGGTGGGGAGAACCGATGGGTCTGACGCCGCTGCTGATCCCAGGAGTGGCACGGAGGAGGAGGAGGAAGAGTGCAGCTGTGTCTGCTGGTGTGTGGGCAGAGCTGGGGGTTCCATCCTCACCAGAGCATCAGGAGATTCTCTGGTTTTGGTTTGACATTCCAGGTCTTCTGTCTAGCTGACATCTTTTTAGGTTACTGGTCTGCAGGCAGGGCTGAGGGCTCCGTCCTCACGAGAGCATCAGGAGATTCCCCTTTTTCAGTTTGACATTCGACATCCCCTTTCGAGGATGGTGACATCTTTGAGGTGAGGGTGAGGGGTAAAAAGGGTCTTAGTGGACACTGGATTCTGTTCCTCACATCTAGACATCACTTAGATCCGTCAATTCCATGTTGGCTCGTTGTTTTTAGGGGTTTTTGGCTAGGTTTGGTTAGAGGTTTCTCCCATTGCATGCTGGTTCCGATGTCATTTGCATGCCAACCCCGATGTCCCCTCTTCTCTGCCATCCTCCAGGAAGCAGCAGGACAAAAGGGGGAATTCTTAACCATCAACAACAGGTAGTTAACAAAAACAACAGGTGATCACAACAACAGTCAGAACTCCACCCTGGCAGCAACTGGCCCAACCTGTGAACTCTGCAACCTTTTAAAAAAATGGGCAGCTCTTCTACTCATAACATTCCTCATGTCTAGGCATCACTTGGATCCCTTAATTCGGTGTTGGCTCGTTGTTTTTAGGGGTTTCTCCTGCTAGGTTTGGTGGGGGGTTTCCTCATTTGCATGCCAGCCCCGATGTCACCCCCTCCTCACAGTCCCACCTTCCAGGAGGCAGCAGGGGGATGCTCCACAAAGGGGGATTCATAACCATCAAGAACAGGTAATTAAAGGAAAACTATTAACAACAGGGGATTACAACATGAAATTATCAACAACAAATAGTCACAACTCCATCTTGGCAGCAATTGGTTTAACTTGTGAACTCTGCAACCTTTAAAAAATGGACAACTTTTGTACTCATGACAGTTTGAGCAGAGGGGGCTGCTGAGGGAGGCAGGAGCCTCCCCTGAGATGGGAAATGGAAAACCCCTCCTGTCCTGGTTGTTGTAAATGAGAAGCTTGGCTGGGCCAATATTCCAGCAGCAATTAATTGATTAATTAATATGGTAAAGGATGAGCAATGCAGCGCTGGGTACAGTGGGGGAAGATTTCCCTCCAACTGCACACCCAGAGTTGAGGCGTACAGGTATTTATAGGTATTTATTATATAAATACAGGTCTCTATATAAATATTATAAATATTTATATAAAGTATATTTATATATTATATAAATAGTTATAATATTTATATGTTCATAAGCTTTCTCAGCAGTTTCTATTCCCAATTTTTACATCGCAGTTCTATAAACTATTGTGATTTAGTTTTTCTCAGGATGTATCCCAAAAGGAGTATCCCAGGTTGTGGTGGTCAGGTTTCCAAAAGAAGGAAGGAGTCTCCCATCTGGTGAGGTCCAGATTCCAGATGTGGGTCCAACTTTTGATTACAAGGACTGTAAATCTCATAACAGTGATGCCCAGCTTCCCTTGGTCCAAACTATAAATCATTAATGTTCATCTTCCTTTCTCAAGCTGCTTTTCTCTTTTTTGTTAAGGCCTGAGATAAGCACGTTTCCTTTTTATATATTCTAAAGCTAGAGTTTCAAAGATCCTTACTACAAGCAATATTCTAAAATTATACTTCAAAATGTTCTTATTGCAGAACTCTTTAAGGCTTAGCTACAAGCAGAAAGTTCCTGTCAAGAAGCAACATCCTCAAAGCTTTAATTCAAATGCTCCTAAATCAACTTAAGACTTATAAAAGTTAATTGTGAACAAAGGGTAGGTTCAAAGGCTTTCTTCCATGCTTTACTTTCCTCAGTAATTATTAGAATTCATCTTTATAACTGTCCCATGGTCGGTTTCCACACATCTCACAGTCACAAATACACACATTGCCTGTGTGTACCTGACACCAAACACAGCTTGGTATTTCACATGGTTTAGGGCAAATTTGGGAGAAAACCTCCAAAAGGAGGCTCCTCCAGAAAGCAAACCCACAGAGCTCCTCCCCCAATCAAGGAAGGATTCCTCAGAGAGAAGTGGAAAGAACCTGTTTATTTAACAGGCACAGCACCCCCAGCACACAGAACCTGTTTATTTAACAGGCACAGCACCCCCAGCACACAGAATGAACAATACAGGATGACAACACTCTGAAAAAGATGACAAACTCAGAAAGTCTCTCTGGGGGTGGTCACTGTTATCAGTCCCTCCGGCGCTGGGGCAGCTGCTGCAGCCCAATGTGCAAACTCTCGGTGTTGCCAGGTCCCAGTCCGGAGCAGGTTTGAATGGTTCCAAAAACGGGAAAGAAAAACAGTCCAGGGAAAAATTCTGACTGCTTAGCTAAACTAACTAATGAGCAGAAGCAAAAAGCAAGAGCAAGAAAAACACAAAAAGCCTCCCCAAATAAAAGCCAAGCAAAAATCAAAAGCAGCACCATGTACTGCCCTGTCTGTGTGTCCCCCCAGCTGTGGGGGAGCGGCTGATAACAAAACCAAAACAAAACTTTCACTCTTCAGAGCCAGTCTTGAAGGCACAGAACATGATATCCAGCATAAACAGAACACATGAATGGGGATACCAGCATCATAACGTCACCCTAGGACACCTCCTCACAAATTATTGTAATTTTGAAATTAAGGGGCTCTCAGGCAGAGATATGGGAGCAGGAATAACAGTTCTTTACTAGGAAAATTAAAAAAAAAACAATTAAACTATGCAGTAATACGAAACAACACTAACACAGTCAGAACACAACCTGACCCTCTATGGGTCAGGGTGTGAGGTATTTTCAGGGTCCCTCATCGTGGGGAGGAAAGATCAATCTGACTCCATGTTCTCAGAAGAAGAAATATTATTATATTATATTATATTATATTATATTATATTATGCTAAAACTTTACTAAAAAATAGAGAAAGGATACTTACAGAAGTCTAAAAGATAATAATTAAAAACCCGTGACTCTCCAGAGTCCTGACTCAGCTGATGCTGATTGGTCATTAAGTCGAAACAATTCACACGAAACCAATCAAACACTGACCTGTTGGTAAACAATGTCCAACCACGTTCCAAAGCAGCAAAACACAGGAGAAGCACTCAGATAATTATTGTTTTCATTTTTCTCTGAGGCTTCTCAGCTTCCCAGGAGAGGAAATCCTGGCAAAGGGGTTTTTCAGAAAATACGATGGTGACACAGGGAATTGGTGGCAGTCCCATTCCATGGTGGCTCAGCCCTCCTGCAGTGCCAGCTGTGGTTCTGCTGGAGCAGGGATCCTGCACAAGGGTGGAGTTCTCCTCTGAAGGTCCAGGGGTGGTGAAAATGGCCTGGTTTTCCTCTGGGAATGCAGGGGAGAAGGCTGATCCTCTGGGAATGCAGTGCAAAAGGCTGCCCTGGTGTCCCAAACCTCAGATTAAATCCAGGCAGGAACGCTTGGCTCCACTCTTGAGTGATGACCCAGAATCTCAGATTGGATCCAGGCAGGAACGCTTGGCTCCTGCCACGGGGTGATGACCCAGAATCTCAGATTGGATCCAGGCAGGAACGCTTGGCTCCACTCTTGGGTGGTGACCCAGAATCTCAGATTGGATCCAGGTAGGAACGCTTGGCTCCTCCCCTTGGGTGGTGACCCAGAATCTCAGATTGGATCCAGGCAGGAACGCTTGGCTCCACTCTTGGGTGGTGACCCAGAATCTCAGATTGGATCCAGGCAGGAACGCTTGGCTCCTCCCCTTGGGTGGTGACCCAGAATCTCAGATTGGATCCAGGTAGGAACGCTTGGCTCCTCCCCTTGGGTGGTGACCCAGAATCTCAGATTGGATCCAGGCAGGAACGCTTGGCTCCACTCTTGGGTGGTGACCCAGAATCTCAGATTGTATCCAGCTAGGAATGTTTGGCTCCTCCCACTGGATGGAGCATCTGCCAATGGGATGATGGAATTTGATCAGCCGGGCAGGGACACTCACTGGCCCATGAACAGAAGATAATTAATAATTAATGGCTCGTTGACAGAAGAGATCTCCTGGAGGGAGGATTGGTTGTGGAAGAGATAAATAAAAAACTGTCCCATTAACAGAAGATAACTGCCCCACCTGTAACAGATGGCAAACAGAATACACACTTACCTTGCAATCCAGGACAGGTCCTCCAAAAATTCGGGGCATTACCGATGGTTTGGGAAGGGAGCTCAAAGATCTGCTCATTCCGCCTCCCTGGGACACGTCCCACTGTCCCAGGTTGCTCCAAGCCCCGTCCAGCCTGTCCCCGGGCAATTCCAGATGTGGGGAATCCACAGCCTCTCTGGGCAAATCCTGGGATCGGACGGGCCCCTTCCAGCCAGACACGTGGCCATAATTCTGCTAAAATTGGATGTTCTGGTGCATCTCCTCTCCGTGTCAGTGCGTGGACTGGAAAGAGAAAAAACGCCCTGATGTTTTCAGAGTGTGCGCTGGTCTTGGTGAATTAATTACACCCCAGGGCTGAGCCCAGCGCTGGTTTTCAGGCACGGGAGCGCTCTGTGGGAAAACAGAGCTGCCCCAAGGTCAGCTCAGCACTTCCCGGCTGCTTTGTCCGTGTGTCAGGCGGTTTTGAGTCTGTCAGTACCCCTGCCCTGCCGAGGTAAACGAGGGCACGGGTTTGAGCTGAGGTGGAGCTAAGGTTTCCAGGGTAATTAATCACCGAGCGTTTCACTCCCCTAATTACCAATACCGGCCAGCCTGGGGTGAGACCATTGTGAGGAGCTGAAACGCTTTGGCGGGGCTGGGGGAGCCGAGCAGGGAATGGCTCTCCTCGCTTGAGCTCTGTTCGCATTCCTCCAGCAGCTCAGCGTGAAAAACGCCCATCGCTTGTTTTTAAAAGTTTAATAGTAATAAAATGGTCATAAAAATAGTAATACAATTAGAGTAATAATGATTTGGACAATTTGAATTAGGACAATATGAGACAATAGAGACAAAGAGTTACGGACGTCCGGGTACCTTTTTCTGGGCAAAATAAACCAGAAAAAGGACACACATTAACAAAGGATTAACCCTTAAAAAACAACAGCCTGTTGCATATTCATACACCTCATCCATGATGCATAAATTCCATTCAAACACAGGATTCTGTCTGGTCATCCTCAACTTCTTCCTCTGAATCCTGACAGCGCCTTCGAGGTGGGAAGAAGTTCATTTCTTCTGATAAGAGGGCGATAAATTATTTTTCTCTGAAAGATTTAGGTGTCCTGGGGCTGCTATCTCGCTTTGAGTCTTTTCTTTAAAAATTAAAGTATCTACATTAGACTGCCTGGTGGTGTGGTCTTGCTCCCGAGCAGGCAGCAGGGCCGGAGAGCTCAGTCCCTCCCGGGGACAGAGTGTGCAAACACCCAGGCCGCTCGTAGCCACGGCCACCTCAGCAAGCCCAGTGGATTTCAGCTCTTCAGTGATTATCAGCTCTCTGAGGATTCCAGCTCTTGATTGCTCAGGTGCCTGTGGGCTGGAGGGGAAGCGGACGCGAGAGAGGAGAAGAAAATCATCCTGGGGTTCCACAGCGATGGCTTTATTGAGGGGTCTGTGAAGGGTTCCAGCGACGACTTTTCTTCTCCCAAATGGGCTAAACCAGCCCCATTTTATAGGGTATAGGGGGATCCAAACTTGTCCAACAGCAGGGGTTAAGGGAAAGTGACCTGTAGGGTTACAGAGATAAGCTGGGGTGCGACAGGCGGAAGACAGGAGCTCATTTTGCTGTTTCATCGTGACCCAGCAATTCCTCTCGTTGAGCCTCGGCCCTCCATGGGGCCCTGGCCAACTGCATGGAGCTGCTGCATTACATGGCATCGCTTCTTGTTGGGAAGGATGGAAGTTTGACAAGAAAGTCTCACAGATCTGTATCTTCAGCAGAAAGATTTTTAAATGTGGAGTCTGATGAAGGAATAGAGATGGAAGCAAGTTTTGATATAGAAGAAAAGAATTGCTGAGTCTCACTGGATAACCAAGGAGGCAAAGGGTGTGTTGGTTAGAAGGGGTTTTATGGCTTAGAGCAAAGGATGAACCCACCCCAAACATGAAGATGTTTTTACCAAGCAGAAAGAGAGCACAGGCAAACAAGGCAGCAAATGTTGCAAGTAGAAAAAAGGTGTCAGAATTTTTCACTGCAAGGAAACTGAAAAACAACTTCTGGCTTAAACTGTGATGTACTGACTTTTAGTGATTGGAGAATAGTAACATGAATATGGTAATTACAGTAGTTATCATAGGCTATAGATAACAGTTAAGGTATAGATTGGCTCTACTGTATGAAGATGCTCAGCAGAGAAAAGTCTAGAATGCAGTGTAACCAAAACCAAAGGGTCTCCAGGCCTGCCTGCAGCTGGAGCACAGCTGTGGGCACAGCTCTGTCACCCACAGCCCTGGGCTGCTGTGACCTCTTGGATGGAATAAACTGCATTTTGGAGAGCCCCTGGAGTCCCACATCCCTCATTTCAGCTCTTACAATTTCTATTTTAACATTTTTTAGAACTTAAAACTATATTTACCACACTACTTAAGAGAATTAATCCAGCATTACTTTTTAACACAACACATCTAATACTCATTTGAATATTTGTGAGAAGCCAATCAATACACATTTTTCACATGTGTATGATGATCAATCCCCCTGTGTTTCCCTCCATCAGGTACACTCCCTGCAGCTACAGGGGCGTGGGGGAGCGGCTCCCTCAGGGCAGCATGTCGCGGCTGACCGACCACTCACACTGCTTAAGAGAATTAATACAGCTTTACTTTCTAACACAACACATATAATATTCATTTGAATATTTGTGAGAACCCAATAATGAAATATACATTTTTCACATGGCTGATGCTCACCCCCCTGTGTTTCCCTCCATCAGGTACACTCCCTGCAGCTACAGGGGCGTGGGGGAGCGGCTCCCTCGCGGCAGCATGTAATGACTGACCAACCACTCACAGTACCTAAGAGAATTAATACACCATAACTTTCTAATACAACACATACCATATTAATTTGAATATTTGCCAAAAGCCAATCATAAAATACGCATTTTTCACATGGCTGATGCTCACTCTGTGTTTCCCTCCATCAGGTACACTCCCTGCAGCTACAGGGGCGTGGAGGAGCGGCTCCCTCACGGCAGCATGTCGCGGCTGACCGACCACTCGCGGCACAGCAGCTGCCACCGGCTCAACGAGCAGTCGCGGCACAGCAGCGTCAGGGACCTCAGCAGCAACCCAGTGACACACATCACGCACGGCACCAGCATGAACCGCGTCATCGAGGAGGACGGCACCAGCGCCTGACCTTCCTCAGCCCGGAGTCATCCTCAGCCTCAGCCGGGCTCGGCCTCCCCGCGCGGGACTTGAACCACTGTGTGTAGAGCTGGTTGTGTGCTCTGAACCTCTCTGGAGGTAATTATTTATTTGAGAACTGTTCCCCGTCGGACACGACTGCTGAATTTCTGATTCTCTGTGGAAAACAATCTCCCCCTTCCTCCTCTCTCTCCCCCTCCCCGTGTCCCTCCTTCCGTGGGCTCGGCCCCCAATCTCGGTGTCGGTGTCGGGTGGTGCTGGGAGTTGTTCTGATGAGACTTGAGGGAACCTGTGATGGTTGAAGGAAATCCCTCCCTCCGTGCACCTCCCTGCAGGGGACTCGCCCAGCGCTGCTCGAGGGACATTCCTGCGAGCGGGTGACACTGGAAGCGCCACCGGAGTGAAAGGAAGCTCCTTGAGGATCACCAGCTCTTCCCAGAGCTGCCCAGGCTCGGTTTTCCACAGGGTGGGGGAAAGAGAGAGGCAGGGAAGAGCGAATTTTTTATAACTTGTACCGTCCTTGCTTTTTTACAAAAGACTATTTAAATTTTCTACTCGTTTACAATTTCTGTAGGAAGAGATGGGTTTTAAAAGCAGTTATCTAGATAATATTCAGCCATTTATTTTTTAGAGTCATGTACAAAAGCTGAGATTGCCTGTTCCTGATCTATTTAAAAAAGAAATTATCACAGGAATGCTGAATTTGTGCCCCAAGCAGGAATGTAGAGCCCGTCCCTGCAGCCAGAGCTGAGCCTGTTTACAAACCCCAGCAGCTGAGGCCAGAGGGACCAGGGGAGTTTATTCAAGGGTGCCCCACCTTCCTGGTGATGCCAGCGCTGGTTTGGGGAGGATTCTCTGTGCTGAGCAAGAATTCAGAGATGGGTGGGAGAAACTGAGGCAGGAGCTGCCCCCAGATGGGGACAAGGAGGATGTGGCAGCTGGAAGCCCAGGGCAGTCCTTGAGGAGCAGACAGGATCCCCAGTTCAGATCTGCCTCTGCTGTGGTTGTTTCCATCCCCTTCTGCGGATCCATGGCAGGGAATTCTCAGTTTGGGCTTTTTTTGTGAGGGAAGGATCCCTTGGGATGCACTGGAGGCAGAGTCAAGGATGGTGCTGGAGATCTTGTGGAGCATCTTCTGTGGAGAGGGATCCAGCACAGGGAAACACTGCTGGCTGCAAACCTACCTCAGTAATCACTGCTGGGAAACGAATCCTCATTTTTGCTTTGTCCTTCCATGATTCCCTCCCTGCCCCGCTGGAGGCAATTTGAGAAACCTTTGTGCACCAACCCCGGGGCAGGAGCTGCTCCACAATTAACTCACTTTAATTGCAGCTCATAACCCGAGTGCTGTGGAATCAAAGGCTCCCAGATTTATCCCAAATTGTCTCTCTTGCTTCCAGCAGTCAGGAGGAGAGGGCAGATGGAGCCCAGCGTGGAGCAACAACAAAGCTCTTTGTTGTCAGCCCCCGGGGCAGAGCGGGCTCTGCTTTGCCTGTTTGCTCAGCAAACAGCCCTGGGGCCAGCCCAGGGACAGCCCTGGTCTAAGGACAGTCCTGGCCTAAGGATAGCCCTGGCCTAAGGACAGCCCTGGCCTAAGGATGGCCCTGGCCTAAGGGCGGCCCTGGCCTAAGGACAGCCCTGGCCTAAGGACAGCCCTGGCCTAAGGATGGCCCTGGCCTAAGGGCGGCCCTGGCCTAAGGACAGCCCTGGCCTAAGGATAGCCCTGGCCTAAGGGATAGCCCTGGCCTAAGGACGGCCCTGGCCTAAGGGCGGCCCTGGCCTAAGGACAGCCCTGGCCTAAGGACAGTCCTGGCCTAAGGGATAGCCCTGGCCTAAGGACAGCCCTGGCCTAAGGACAGCCCTGGCCTAAGGATGGCCCTGGCCTAAGGGATAGCCCTGGCCTAAGGACAGCCCTGGCCTAAGGACGGCCCTGACCTAAGGACAGTCCCAGCCCAGGGATGACTGTCCACATCCAAAGCTGTGGAAAAATCCTTTGGAGTGACTTAAACTGGAGAAGCTGCAGCTCCCTGGAAGCCCCAGGGGGGATGGAAGCTTTGCTGTTTTCCAATCCAGCTCCTCCTGACTCACTGCCTCCGAGGGGTGATCTGGGAGAAATCTGGATAAGCTGAGTTTTCCTAAACACTGGAACTGAACTAAATGAGCTCAAGGGTTTACATTGATCCTCTTGGCTCGACTTGCAGTATTTTTTTTTTAAATAAATTATAGCAATGCTTTGACTTGTTCAGAGACAGGGAGAGGGGCAATGGTGGAGCTTGGAGAAGGATCCTGCTGGAAATGATGTTAATTTGTGAGGCTCGGTCCCAGTCCTGCTTCCAGATGGGAATGTCCAAGTTGTTCCTCCCTGATCCTAAAGGGACAGGCTCCTGTCACCCCAGAGAGGGGATTAAACTCAAACTGGGGCTCGGGCTGGGATTTCTGCCTCCCTGCTCCCTCCCTTCTACCTTCAACACCTGAGCCAGCACTGCTGAGCTCTCCTGGGAAGAGAGGAATTCCTTCTCGCTGGTGGAACAGTGCCCCAGCTCTGCTGCACTGGAACTGGGAATTCCTCCTGCCCATGGAACAGTGCCCCAGCTCTGCTGCAATGGAACTGGGAATTCCTCCCTCACCATGGAACAGTGCCCCAGCTCTGCTGCAATGGAACTGGGAATTCCTCCTGCCCATGGAACAGTGCCCCAGCTCTGCTGCAATGGAACTGGGAATTCCTCCCTCACCATGGAACAGTGCCCCAGCTCTGCTGCAATGGAACTGGGAATTCCTCCTGCCCATGGAACAGTGCCCCAGCTCTGCTGCAATGGAACTGGGAATTCCTCCTGCCCATGGAACAGTGCCCCAGCTCTGCTGCACTGGAACTGGGAATTCCTCCCTCACCATGGAACAGTGCCCCAGCTCTGCTGCAATGGAACTGGGAATTCCTCCTGCCCATGGAACAGTGCCCCAGCTCTGCTGCAATGGAACTGGGAATTCCTCCTGCCCATGGAACAGTGCCCCAGCTCTGCTGCAATGGAACTGGGAATTCCTCCCTCACCATGGAACAGTGCCCCAGCTCTGCTGCACTGGAACTGGGAATTCCTCCCTCACCATGGAACAGTGCCCCAGCTCTGCTGCACTGGAACTGGGAATTCCTCCTGCCCATGGAACAGTGCCCCAGCTCTGCTGCAATGGAACTGGGAATTCCTCCTGCCCATGGAACAGTGCCCCAGCTCTGCTGCAATGGAACTGGGAATTCCTCCCTCACCATGGAACAGTGCCCCAGCTCTGCTGCACTGGAACTGGGAATTCCTCCCTCACCATGGAACAGTGCCCCAGCTCTGCTGCAATGGAACTGGGAATTCCTCCCTCACCATGGAACAGTGCCCCAGCTCTGCTGCACTGGAACTGGGAATTCCTCCCTCACCCATGGAACAGTGCCCCAGCTCTGCTGCAATGGAACTGGGAATTCCTCCCTCACCATGGAACAGTGCCCCAGCTCTGCTGCACTGGAACTGGGAATTCCTCCCTCACCATGGAACAGTGCCCCAGCTCTGCTGCACTGGAACTGGGAATTCCTCCTGCCCATGGAACAGTGCCCCAGCTCTGCTGCAATGGAACTGGGAATTCCTCCCTCACCATGGAACAGTGCCCCAGCTCTGCTGCAATGGAACTGGGAATTCCTCCTGCCCATGGAACAGTGCCCCAGCTCTGCTGCAATGGAACTGGGAATTCCTCCCTCACCATGGAACAGTGCCCCAGCTCTGCTGCAATGGAACTGGGAATTCCTCCTCACCCATGGAACAGTGCCCCAGCTCTGCTGCACTGGAACTGGGAATTCCTCCTGCCCATGGAACAGTGCCCCAGCTCTGCTGCACTGGAACTGGGAATTCCTCCTGCCCATGGAACAGTGCCCCAGCTCTGCTGCACTGGAACTGGGAATTCCTCCTGCCCATGGAACAGTGCCCCAGCTCTGCTGCACTGGAACTGGGAATTCCTCCTCACCCATGGAACAGTGCCCCAGCTCTGCTGCACTGGAACTGGGAATTCCTCCTGCCCATGGAACAGTGCCCCAGCTCTGCTGCAATGGAACTGGGAATTCCTCCTGCCCATGGAACAGTGCCCCAGCTCTGCTGCAGTTCCCCAGCTGGGGCTCACGGGGCTGCAGCTCCCAAATCATCGTGTCCAGGGGCTCTCAAATTCATCCCAGTTTGAATGTGGCCCCAGCAGCACCTCAGGCAGGGGCACCAGGAGTCCAGGAGTGTTTTTGGGTTGTTTTCCTGCCTGGTAGGAGCTCCAGCCCGGGTGCCTGGTGTGTGGGATTGGTGCCAAGCTTTAAATTCGCCCTGAGCTGGAAGCCCCGGCCAGGAGGGCGTTCCTGGAATCCCCGAGGTGCCCTGGGCTCCCTGCAGCTGAACAGCTCCTCGTGGGGCCCCTGCAGCCACCAAGAGCTGGATCCCCTCTCCAGGAGCAGGCAGGGAGCTGGGCAGTGCCCGGCTGCCCCAGCTCGCCCCAAACTCCATCCCTGTCCCTCCCGTGCACACGATGGCTGCAGCCCCAAAACTGCTCTGTGGAACTGCTCTGTCAAAGCTTCCTGTAAAACGCACAGCTCCCATTCCCAGTGTCCCAGGGATCTCCTGCTTTACCAACCCCACTGCACTGAACAAATCCCCCCTGAGTTTGTGGCGTTCCCTCTTTATTAACCCTTCAGCTCCTGTGAAATATCCCAGATCTGAGCTGCGGTCCCATTGCATGGAAGAGGCTGCTGCTCTTTTTTACAGCATAAACCACCCAGCAGCAGCAGCAAACAGCCCCGTTTGGGTGTCTGTGTGTTTGTGTTCTCCTTTCTTCCAGCTCAGACCCAGATTTGGTGCTGGCAGCTTTAAGCTCTAGGAGGGCCTGGTGAGCACAGGGTGGCACTGGGAGCTGAAATGCAGCTGAAATCCGGTCACGGCCAAATCCAGCACTGCTCCCGAGGGGTTCCAGCAAGGAGGGAAGGGAAAACCCCTCAGGAGGGGCACAAGGAGCGGAGCCAGGCCAGCCTAGAGCAGTGCCCACAAGGAGAGAAGGGAAAGGAAAATCCCTCAGGAAGGGCACAAGGATGAGAGCCAGGCCAGCCTAGAGCAGTGACCACAAGAATGGAAGGAAAGGGAAAATCCCTCAGGAGGAGCCAGGCCAGCCCAGAGCAGTGCCCACAAGGAAAGAAGGGAAGAGAAAATCCCTCAGGAAGGGCACAAGGATGAGAGCAAGGTCAGCCTGGAGCAATGCCCACAAGGAGGAAAGGAAAGGGAAAATCCCTCAGGAGGAACCAGGCCAGGCTAGAGCAGCGCCCACAAGGAAAGGAAATCCCTCAGGAAGAGCCAGGCCAGCCTGGAGCAATGCCCACAAGGAGGAAAGGAAAGGGAAAATCCCTCAGGAGGAACCAGGCCAGGCTAGAGCAGCGCCCACAAGGAAAGGAAATCCCTCAGGAAAAGCCAGGCCAGCCTGGAGCAATGCCCACAAGGAGGGAAGGGAAAACCCCTCAGGAAGGGCCAGGCCAGCCCAGAGCAGTGCCCACAGGGAGGAAAGGGAAAACCCTCAGGAAGGGCACAAGGAGAGCAGTGCCCACAAGGAGGGAAGGGCAAATCCCTCGGGAAGGGCACAAGGGTGAGAGCCAGGCCAGCCCAGAGCAGCGCCCACAAGGAGAGGAAATCCCTCAGGAGGAGCCAGGCCAGCCCAGAGCAGCGCCCACAAGGAAGGAAGGGAAGGGAAAACCCCTCAGGAAGGGCCAGGCCAGCCTAGAGCAGCGCCCACAAGGAGAGGAAATCCCTCAGGAGGAGCCAGGCCAGCCCAGAGCAGCGCCCACAAGGAGGGAAAATCCCTCAGGAAGGGCCAGGCCAGCCCAGAGCAGTGCCCACAGGGAGGGAAGGGAAGGGAAAATCCCTCAGAAAGAGCCAGACAAGCCTAGAACAGTGCCCACAAGGAGGGAAGGGAAGGGAAAACCCCTCAGGAAGAGCCAGGCCAGCCCAGAGCAGCGCCCACAAGGAGAGGAAATCCCTCAGGAAGAGCCAGGCCAGCCCAGAGCAGCGCCCACCCTCCAGGGCAGCCGATTCCCCATCCCAGCTCCGGGGCACTGAGGATCCCGGAGAGCAGCAGGGAGCTCCCTCCGTGTGGCGACACCAGGGCACCCTCAGGGCCTCCTGGAGCAGCAGAATGTCCAGATGAATGTGAAGCTTTACCCCCATCCCCTCGTGCTTCTTTCCTAACGGGATCAGGATTGATTTCCCCCCAGGCGCGGCGTTTTCCCGGATTTCGCTGAGCTCGGTGCATGTACCGCCTGTGGCAGCCCCTCCCTCGGCCCTGCGGTGTCGGGTGTCCGTGTCGTGACAGCGCCCAGCTCCTCGGGAGAGGGCAGGGAGCTCCCAGGAGATTTGTACGTCTTGGAATGTGTGGGGCAGTCCCCGCCCGTGGCTGACCCCACTTGCACTCGGCTCTTGCTAGACTTGTTTACAGTAGTCCAGTGTCGGTTTTGTAACGTTTAATTTTTAGCACTTTAACTGTGAGTGTACAAATTGGTTCCCTTGTAGTTGGTGTACATTTTCATTTTAGACCTTTGGAAGTTTTTAATAAAACGATGGAAAAAACTCTGGCGACAGATTTTCAATTCTTCTCCCGTGGGTGTAATCCTACCTCCATTAAAAAACCCAATTCGGAAGCAGTTGAGATATAAAGGTTAAAGAATTAAATATCAGATTTTACTCTGGTCAGCAGCTCTGTGAATTTGAAGAAAAGCTTTCTAGACTTAATCTCCCCCCAGCATCTGCACTGGTGGACGCCGGGCGCCCTTCCAGCAAACACAAGGCTCTCGCAGATCTCCGCCCTATTGCAGGAACAGACCGCTCCAACCGCGGCGTTTCACAGCAGAGAGCAGCGAACAGGTTTGGGAGCAGCGATGCCAGCGATGTTCGGGGGTTTGTGTTGCCAAATCCAAGCTGAGGACAGGATGAGTGATTTGTCTGAAGGAGCTGTCTGGCACTTGGGCGGATCCGTGCTTGGTTTGGGTTGGAAGCTGAGTCTCGCATTGCTGCTGATAAAATAACTCCTCTCACTAATTCCTGCTGCTGGGTTAGGTCTCCTTAGAGGGACGGAAGTTCAGGAGCTGCTGCTCTGCTCCATGTGCCCTGGAGTTAAACTGCTGTGGGCTGTGAGTGACCAGCTCCGCAGTCAAGCAGCCCGAGATGGGATCTCCTGCAGCCCAGGGGGATCCCCGCTGCAGCTAAACCCAGCACGGGTGAGGAACGGGAGCTCTCAGCGTTTGTCTCCCCTCCGTGCTCAGTGCCGGGTCCCGAAGGGGTTAATGCGGGCTCGGGGAGGGCACGGAGTCACCTGGAGCTGGTTCGGCCCTCCCAAGGCGGTTTAAGGGGCTGCAGGTGAGGGAGGCGGGAGCAGCACGGAAAAAGGAGCTGGGGGAGGCCGAGGCCAGGTCAGACCCCCAGGCTGGGATTAGGGCTGGGGGCGTTTTAGTCACGATCAATTCCTAACACACTTTAATACCCCTGACACACTTTAACACCCGCTGCAGATTTGGGGCCAGCTCTGTCTCTCAGCTCTGCCAGCTCCTGGCCCTGTTGTCATCTCTTCTCCAGTTTGAAGGGAGAGCAGCATCTGGCCGTGCACAAATCCTGAAGACAACAAAATCATTGGATCGTGGAATGGTTTGGGTGGGAAGGAACCTTAAATTGATCTTAAATTCTGTTCCCCTGCCATGGGCAGGGACACCTTCCACTGTCCCAGGCTGCTCCCAGCCCTGTCCAGCCTGGCCTTGGACACTGCCAGGGGTCCAGGGGCTTCTCTGGGCACCCTCTGCCAGGGCCTCCCCACCCTCACAGGGAAGAACTTTTCCTCATATCCAATCTGAACCTACTCCAAGAAATCATTGCTAACAAAAGGCTGGAACAAAACAGGTGGAAATAGAAGGGTTGTTTTGTAAAAAGTCATTTTTGAGGAGTTATTCCAGCTCAGAGCTCCGGCCCGGTGGGACGAAGCCGCCGTCCCTGGAGCGTGACCGGCGCGGATCCAGCGCCCTGGGCTGCCGGTCGGACTGGTTTTTGTGATAACGCTCCAGACACCTTGGGTTGGTATCCAGGCTCCAGTTTCAGTGCCTGCACCTGTGTGCCACCTCTGCCCTGCACCCACGGCCTGCTGCTGTTACCCCACTGCCTCTCCTGCTCCCCTTCATCCCATGGGGACATCCCAGCTGGGGAAAGCTGCTTTCTCCTCACCCACCTCCCTGAGTTTGGGTTTTATGAGATTCCTCCTTCCCCTTTGCTTCCTGCCCCCCTTTACTGCCTCCACACACCCCTCTGCAGCATTCCAAAGCATCTGTATCCCAGGAGCTGGCTTAAAGTATTTCCAGGGTCTCCCAGGAGAGTGCTGCATGAATGCTCAGCAATTTGGAGCCATCCTGATGCCTGAAATGGTGGGAAAGCTGAAGAAGGGCGGATCTGCAGTGCCAAATGGTTGCCAGCCTCCTCCCAAGCTGCTGTAATGCAATATTTTAAATATAAATATGTTAATATTCCTGTTTGCTGCAGACATATCCTCCGCTGCTTCCTGTTCAGTGCTGGTGCAGAGGGTTCCTGCCTTTGCGAGAACGTGCTGAAAAAATCCCTTAAGGCCCTGAATTGCAACATAATCCAGCTCCAAATCCCACCTGGAATCTGCCAGAAGGGACGAGCCCCGACATTCCCCCAGATGCCTTCAAAGCCCTCTGATCTGATAAGGCTCAGCCCCTGCCTAAAGACACAGAACATCTGTTTGGCTGCGGAAAGGGGGGCTAGGGAAAAGTTAACCTTGTTCCTCAGCTTCAATTTTTGGGACGCAAGCAGCTGCCAAGTTCTCCTCTGCAGGGTGGGTTTGGGGATTTCGTGGTGGTCCCAGACTCTGAGGATGAGGTGCCCTTGGGGACGATGGCAGCGATGCACAGAGGGAGCAGCAGGGCCATCCATGTGCTGGCTCCTGGAACAGCAATAAAATCTGGGGCCAACCAAGAGTTTGGACTTTTAGTGATGAGAGGAAACGCCCTTAAGCTGTGCCAGGAGAGATTCAGGTTGGACATCAGGAGGAATTTCCTGGCAGCAAACACTGGAGGGGCTGCCAGGGAGGTGGCGGAGTCCCCATGGGATCAGTCAGAACTTGGACTCGATGATCTCAGAGGTCTTTTCCTACCTAAACAATTGTGTGAAAACCAGAAACCGTCTTTACTTTTCAACCCCTTCTCTCCACTCGAAACGTTTCTCCCTAAAAGCAATCCCGAAGAACCTGCTCGTTCCACAAAAGCTCCTGGGTGACCCGACCGTGTCGGCAGCGCTGCTCGGGCAGGTGAAGGGTTAACCCCGTTCTTCGGGAGCTGTAACTCCCGGATGCTGCCAGAGCTCGTTAGTGCGGAAGGGCCGGGGCGCTGATTGGAGCGACGGCTCCGGAGCTGTGAGAAATCAGCGGCGGCACAACGAGGAGGTGCCGCCCGTTAACAGGTGCGGGGTCACCCCCGGGCGCCCCAAAAACCCCGACCCCGTCACTCGCTGCCCGCGGCCGCCCCGCCCTGCCCGCGGGCTCTGCTGGGCAGGGATCTCCATCCCCGAGCGGAGCAGCTGCCGCTGCAAGAGCTGGGAGCGGCGGGAATGAAAATTGTTTGCTTTTCGCTGGAAGCCCGGGCGGGAGGAGCCCCGGCGGTGACGGGGGGTGTCACAGGGACATCTCCGGCCCTGCCTGGAGCAGCCGTAAATCTAAAATCGAATTCCCAGTGCTGCCCCGGGGCTTTGCACCAGTCAGAGAAGTCGGATCGGGGGAGTTGCGGGAGCAGAAAAAGCAGAAAAAGCTGCACCATCCCATGAGCTCATGTGCTCGATACTGGCATCAGGAGAGGCCCTCCTCCTCCTCCTCCTCCTCCTCCGCTCCCCCTGTAATCAGGGCTCCTTGGACAGCGATTGTTTCCCCTGCATCCCGTTTGCCCAGGGATGAGCCATCCTTAAATGCTTTTCCTCCATCCCGGACAGTGGGGAATTGGGGTCCTGTTAAAAGAGCTCTTGGAGCAGCGCTGGGCGCGGGGAGGATGTTCTGCTGTGCAGGGATGGAGCGATGCTCGCTCAGGGGAGGAATTTGGTGCTTGGGATGCTCGCAGAATCCTCCGATGGTTCGAGGTTTGGGAGGATGTGGGAGAAGCCAGGATGCTGATCCAGGGCAGTGCCCCACATCCGCCCTTGGGGCAGTTTGCCAGGATCCGCCGCAGCTTTTCCACCCAAACCGCGGGGCAGAAACCCCCGCGCTGCCCTGGGAGAGGAAAATCCGCAGGGAAACGCGCGGGCTCATCTCCGCCCGTGTGAGCACGGCCCTGGGACACCGAGCACGGCCCGGGGAGCCCACGGGGCTCCGTCCGTGGGGCCAGGGCGGCTGCGGAGATCCAGCCCGGAGAGGCGGCGTCCCCAGAGGAACAGAGCCGGGGTTTTTGAGGCAATAGTGCCACCCTGTGCACCGCGCGAGCCCCGGGGACACCGGCGGCACGCAGTGACACAGACACGCTTTATGAAAAATGTTTCCTTGGGATTTTTCCTCCTGAGAAGCTGGGAGGCCTCAGGAACAAAATGCAAACATTGATTATCTGCTGCTGTGGAATGCAACAGGTGCATCTGTGATTGGTCTCATGTGGTTGTTTGTAATTAATGGCAATCACAGTCTGGCTGTCCGGACTGTCTCAGTCAGTCACAAACCTTTGTTATCATTCTTTTTCTATTCTTAGCCAGCCTTCTGATGAAATCCTTGCTTCTATTCTTTTAGTATAGTTTTAATATAATATACATAATAAAATAATAAATCAGCCTTCTGAAACATGGAGTCAACATTCTCATCTCTTCCCTCATCCTGGGAC